GGGAAGAGTCCAGTGTGTGAGGGGGAAGAGTCCAGTGTGTGAGGGGAAGAGTCCAGTGTGTGAGGGGAAGAGTCCAGTGTGTGAGGGGAAGAGTCCAGTGGGTGAGGGGAAGAGTCCAGTGGGTGAGGGGAAGAGTCCAGTGGGTGAGGGGAAGAGTCCAGTGGGTGAGGGGAAGAGTCCAGTGGGTGAGGGGAAGAGTCCAGTGGGTGAGGGGAAGAGTCCAGTGGGTGAGGGGAAGAGTCCAGTGGGTGAGGGGAAGAGTCCAGTGGGTGAGGGGAAGAGTTCAGTGGGTGAGGGGAAGAGTTCAGTGTGTGAGGGGAAGAGTCCAGTGGGTGAAAGGAAGAGTTCAGTGTGTGAGGGGAAGAGTTCAGTGTGTGAGGGGAAGAGTCCAGTGGGTGAGGGGAAGAGTTCAGTGTGTGAGGGGAAGAGTCCAGTGGGTGAGGGGAAGAGTTCAGTGGGTGAGGGGAAGAGTCCAGTGGGTGAGGGGAAGAGTTCAGTGTGTGAGGGGAAGAGTCCAGTGTGAGGGGAAGAGTCCAGTGGGTGAACCCCTTCCACACCTTCCCAGGTAACCCTCATCACTGTAACCATTTTCACAGCACTGTCTTCAGCACTGTAAACGACCCCATCTACCCTACAAGAATTTGTAAAATAACCACTCAACATGCAAGGTTACTCATCGCTGTACCATTGTCATCACTGTAAACATCTTCACTCCATCTACATTCCCCTCCCCCCCCCCCCCCTCGTCACTGTACCCACGATATTGTACGCATAAGGAAAATCTGATATCTGAACATACGTTTGAAAGTCAATATATGACTATGTGAGCACTGAGATCACGAAGGCCCTGCGGGGCACGGAGCTAACCTCCCTTGATGACACTCCAGATACAATCACCCTTACTATGGCAAAGTTTAACGAGACTAGCCCCAAGCGTCTGGCTTCAGACTTCGTTCAAATTAACAGTCTTTCTGTCTTGTAGATATACACTACATGGGGTGCCCGGTGGTGCCTGAGATACAACCTTCCTATTGGCTGGTCCATTATCCAGCCTTCCTATTGGCTGGTCCATTATCCAGCCTTCCTATTGGCTGGTTCTTTATCCAACCTTCCTATTGGCTGGTCCTTGACCCAACCTTCTTATTGGCTGGTCCTTGACCCAACCTTCCTATTGGCTGGTCCTTTATCCAACCTTCCTATTGGCTGGTCCTGGACCCAACCATCCCTGTCGCCATCTTCCTACAAGCGACCATCTGGGGTGGGCGTGTCGCCCTCCCTGGGGGGCACATTTCACAGTGATAATATTCCGAGCTGTTAAACCATCTGAAATTGAACTTGTTTTCACACCCTGCTGTCGATTATCGCTAATGGCCGAGCCTGTGAAGGGAGGGGAGCCTTCTCCCCTTCCACGCCATTCCTCCCCTACACTCACACACTACTCCCCCTTCCCATCAGAAGTACCCTTCCCATCAGGACTACTCTTCCCATCACCCCTCTACAAATGGTACATAACAGGCCGCTTCTCCCACCAGAGCTTGGACCGGCTCCATACATAAATTTGCATGTTAAACTTTGGCCGGCAATGTTGCATGTGCAGTGGCGTCTGATGTTGCCCTGACTAGGCCTCCACCTGGGGTCCTCCAGGCCTCCACCAGAAAGCCAAATTCTGGCTCTCTGCACGTATTCGCAGTTTGAAATTCCGACTTTATATACAGAAAAAATGCCAATTACTGAAAGCGGCGGTGGGTCATATTTTGCCCAAACCCCCCCCCCCCCCTGCAGTTTTCAAAATATCCCAAACATCTCAAATTCATCACCTAAGCCATATTTTGGAACCAAATTTGGGCTCTCTACACGTATTCGCAGTTTGAAATTCCTACTTTTTATACCGAAAAAATGCCAATTACTGAAAGCGGCGGTGGGTCACATTTTGCCCAAACCCCCCTGCAATTTTCAAAATAACCCAAACATCCCAAATTCCATACCATAGCCATATTTTAGAGACAAATTCTGGCTCTCTGAACGTATTCGCAGTTTGAAATTCCTACTTTTTATACCGAAAAAATGCCAATTACTGAAAGTAGCGGTGGATCACATTTTGCCCAAACCCCCCCCCCCCTGCAATTTTCAAAATATCCCAAACATCCCAAATTCAATACCTGAGCCATATTTTGGAGCCAAATTCTGGCTCTCTGCACGTATTCACCGTTTGAAATTCCGACTTTTTATACTGAAAATATGTCAATTACTGAAAGCGGCAGTGGGTCACATTTTGCCCAAACTCCCCTGCAGTTTTCAAAATATCCCAAACGTCACAAATTCAACACATGAGCCATAATTTTGGAGCCAAATTCTGGCTCTCTGCACGTATTCGTAGTTTGAAATTCCGACTTTTTATACCGAAAATATGCCAATTACTGAAAGCGGCAGTGGGTCACATTTTGCCCAACCCCCCCCCCCCCCCTGCAGTTTTCAAAATATTCTAAACATCCCAAATTTAATACCTGGGCTATATTTTGGAGCCAAATTCTGGCTCTCTGCACGTATTCGTAGTTTGAAATTCCTACTTTTTATACTGAAAATATGCCAATTACTGAAAGCGGCAGTAGGTCACATTTTGCCCCCCCCCCCTGCAGTTTTCAAAATATCCTAAACATCCCAAATTTAATACCTGAGCCATATTTTGGAGCCAAATTCTGGCTCTCTGCACGTATTCGCAGTTTGAAATTCCGGCTTTTTATACCGAAAATATACCAATTACTGAAAGCGGTCTTGGGTCACATTTTGCCCCCCCCCCCTGCAGTTTTCAAAATATCCCAAACATCCCAAATTCAACACCTGAGCCATATTTTGGAGCCAAATTCTGGCTCTCTGCACATATTCAGTTTGAAATTCCGACTTTTTATACCGAAGATATGCCAATTACGGAAAGCGGTCTTCGGTCACATTTTGCCCACAGAGCATTCTCTCTCTCAAATTATATACACTGATGGTTCCCTACACCGCACCACGGGTGCAACTGGAAGTGCAGTTGTCCTGACAATGGGCGATGGCCTATACTTTGAGTGGGGAGTCCGTATAAACAACTGGGCCTCTACCCTTCAGACTGAACTATTTGCCTTGATCCTTGCACTGAAATGTGTACAAGTCTCAAAACTTGATACATTAATTGTAAGTGACTCCTTATCATCCTTAAATGCTCTTAACTCTTTAAGACATAACTGTAACATGCTCGTGTCCGAAGCTAGACACAAATACAACAAAATTATTAAGGATGGTAACAGAGTCCATTTCATGTGGTCTCCATCTCATGTTGGCCTCCGAATGCATGATAGAGCTGATAAGTTAGCCAAAGAATCTGCCTTTAAAGGAGCCGTTGAGTGTAACCTTGGATTGTCAATGAGCAATCTGAGAGCAGCAGTACACCGAGAACTTCAACAAGATCTTGTAGATCTGAGGCAAAGTGAAATTGACACCAGTAATTCCATCTATCATCATACTATCATGCAAGAGGAGCCACACATCTATGGATCATCCAATAAAATCAGCAGACTTCTAGATGTTACTACTGCTCGGCTTAGACTCGGTTACAAGTATCTCTGGGAATTCTCATTATCTGCTGATGTAGACCTTACCAAATGTAAACTGTGTCAACAAAATTATTCGCACACCCTCCGTCACTATGTGATGGAGTGCGAAAAGATACGTGAATTTAGAGACAATTCTATAACCAATGTTCCAGCGATGTGTCAATATTTCATTCAAAATGATCTGCTACCAGAAATTTTAGCCAAATATCCCCAGTTTGCTAACTGTAGGTAGTAACTAAGGGATTGTAACCTATCCACCGCTACCCACTGGATGGGGGGCGGTGTGCAGGACAGTTCAACCCGTTCTCGCAAATTTAATAAGTCAATATTGACTTATTAAATATGTGCATAGGTGACATACTTAACATAATAGATACCCTTAAAAAGATTCATAGAAAACACCGACCTTACCTAACCTTGTTAGTATCTTAAGATAAGCATCTTATTGCTTCGTAATTACAATTATTACCTAACCTATAATAGGTATAGGTTAAGTAATAATTGTAATTACGAAGCAATAAGATGCTTATCTTAAGATACTAACAAGGTTAGGTAAGGTCGGTGTTTTCTATGAATCTTTTTAAGGGTATCTATTATGTTTAGTATATCACCTATGCACGTAGTTAATAAGTCAATATTGACTTTACGAATTTGCGAGAACGGGTGTCCATTGTAACCCTGCAGGGGGGTTTGGGCAAAATGTGACTCACTGCCGCTTTCAGTAATTGGCATATTTTCAGTATAAAAAGTCGGAATTTCAAACTGCGAATATGTGCAGAGAGCCAGAATTTGGCTCCAAAATATGGCTCAGGTGTTGAATTTGGGATGTTTGGGATATTTTGAAAACTGCAGGGGGGGGGGGGGTTTGGGCAAAATGTGACCCAAGACCGCTTTCAGTAATTGGCATATCTTCGGTATAAAATGTCGGAATTTCAAACTGCGAATATGTGCAGAGAGCCAGAATTTGGCTCCAAAGTATGGCTCAGGTGTTGAATTTGGGATGTTTGGGATATTTTGAGAACTGCAGGGGGGGGGGGGGATTTGGGCAAAATGTGACCCAAGACCGCTTTCAGTAATTGGCATATCTTCGGTATAAAATGTCGGAATTTCAAACTGCGAATACGTGCAGAGAGCCAGAATTTGGCATCAAATATTTAATTTAATCAGTAAAATATCAAGTATACAGTCTGGCATGTGGTCATTTGACCAATACTTATAATAATTAACTTACTAAGCTTGTGTAGCATGCAAGAGAATTGTTACAATAATGTTAATTAAAAATCCCATAATTCAGTCTGGTAGAGATCGCTATGTATGCAGCCAAGTATTGTATCTCATAGTTACACATTCTGTAGAAGTGTATTGTACTAAATGCTTAGGTGGTTCTGTATGAGGCTAAAAATAACATTATAAGAACAAACATTTATTTATGTTAAAATGGAAAGGTAGCAATATGAATTCACTTAAAAAATTAGACAACCAGAAACACTTGCATTAAAATAAGTATATATAAAAAATAAAAAATAAAATATTGAGCTCCAAATGCTTTACTGTGCAAATAAGTTTAACCTTTTGAGATTCAAGTAGGTTGCAATGAACGAGTCCAAGATGGGCCGAGTCATTCAGTTATATACATTTTTCACTATACCATGTTGAGCAAATAGGGTTAGCATAATGACTCAACATAAAAATAGGACAACCTTGGAATGCAATTATATATGACCTACTAGTTCACTAATCCCAAGTTTATACTAAGAAGTGTCATGGAAAAATAATATTGACAGGTAATAATTTCTTGTACACAAGGAATATAACCATACACTCTTCCTGAGAAGTGCAGCCCATTCATTTTATAAAGGTTTACTGGACAGTAATCCTATATTTCAGACATTACATTTATAGAAAATTATATCCTGAAAACACAATATTAATGCTCAAACTAAACCCTATCTGCAAACTTCAAGCCTTCAAAATTTGTTAGGCATACAAGAGCCAAAATCTTCAGATTTGCAAATGAAAATCTTAAAAGTGCCAATAGGCATAGATAGGCATTATCTTTTGTTTCAATGAAATCCAAAAACTACATGTAATGTATGATAACCCCCCCCCCCTTCCTTCACAAAAGTTCAGGTTTAGTGACAGTGTGAGCCTCTAATGCTCCAAGATGCACGACGACTACTGTATCATCTCTCACCAACAGTTTTACTTCAAACATCGCTAATATGTATAATTCCTCTCCAAAGTTAGTTAGGTATAGCCCATACAAATTGTGTACAGGTTGAAGAGGGAGGACAACAACAGTGGTGGCATGTGAAAGCTAATAATAGAATGTTCAGAAAGGAGGGGAGGGGGGAGAATATCCAAAGGTGGAGAATGCCCCTAAAATTTATGTGACAAAGATAAAATGCCTCAAGTACCCGATCCATTATCTATCACAAACAAGTAGAAATAAGTACCAGTATACATTATGTATGCACGTTTCAAGAGCTCCTGGACCAATATTTTCCAAAACAATGTTAAGTGCATTTTAGAATAACTGGTACTTCACAACACAATGTCAAATCTTACACTAACGTAATGACTTGAATAAAAGTGTATTACACATTATACCAACATGAAAGAGACGTGGTAATACAAATAGTAGTGGCTTCAATTGCGAGGCTTGTGCCACTCCAATATAAAAAGCCCATTTGTAGGAATGATATTGTTAATAATAAAAAATCTTTGGGTGGTGCCTCTTCATTCTCACAACAGTTGTCACATTTCGCCAAAAAAACACAAGAATCACTGCCACTTCCTTAAGCACTACTTATTACAGTAGTATATCATAAATAAGTGTAATGAATATTACATTGTGCAAAATACTCACCCAAGCAAGAGTCTTATATACAAAAGTTGAAAACATGAATGGGGGACACAATATCAATTCAACACCAAATCAACATTGAATTAATGGTGTTAACACTAACTCAATGTCAAACCAATGCCACTGACATTTGTGCTCACAGAGATGTATGTTTTGTGGTGTCTTAGTGTGTGTGTGTTTGTGTTTGTTTTAGTGTATGTGTGCATTTTAGTGTGTATATGAGTGGGCGTGGTGTGTGTACACACACATACTATACATATATAAAGTGCCCTCCTTAGAGCAATATAAACCTTACAATCATTTTCTGACTAAATTACACTGACAGCAGCCATATACAGCCCATACATCAACAAGCAGCAAAAGACAATATTTTTGGCTCATTTTAATACATATACCTAAATACTATCGAAGGGAATGCAAAGCTATTAATACCCTATAGGGAAACATTTTTTATTACACTATTCATGTTTTAACTTTGCAGGTAACATCTTAATTGTTACATCGAGGCAAAGTCAAATCATGACGTGGGACTAGTAGCAAGACATGAACAGCAGGCAAGCAAGCTGGTTCTGTCACTCTTGTCAGACTTGGGCTGGCAAGACGATGGCCCTATTGAAAAAGTCTTTGTACAGCAGCAAATGAGCACAACCACCCAACATATACTAATGCATATGGACTGTACATTATACTGTGAGACTGACTTGCAAATTTTCTGATAATGTAGATTAAAATATATTTTCTATAAGATCCCATGTGTAAAATATTTCAGAAGTATAAAGATAAATTAAACTTCAGAGAGCGGATGAATATGGCAACTTGAAGACTCTGTACCGAGTCCAATGTTTGGCTTCTCAAGCTGTAGTAAAGGCCATACATTATTTACAAATAGTTTAACGAGGGTTTAACTTGACCAGCACTTTTAACTCAAGTAGACTAATATACTAATACATTAGGAAATATGCATACACTTTATAAAATTTACACCAACATGTATGTAATTTTCATAAGTTCCTACATATTACAATATAAAAAGATCTATTCTGACGAATGCCTTATCAATATTAACGAGTTTTCCATATAAAACTAATCTAACACTCAAAAATTGTAATCTCTTGAGAAATGTGTGCCATAACAGCCATAATGAAAAGTCCCACTTTAAATACACAAATATTTGCTTTATCCAGGAGAAAAAATACAAGGGAAAATAAATATCAAGTATTGTTCCTTTTTTTTACATCATGACATTTAATAAATATCAAGAGGAAATTGAGATGTCATTGAAGGAAGATCCTGGATTCTAAATGTCAAATATGTATGTATCGCCAAGCTGAAGCAACTTTTTGCATCAAAACTTTTCAATAATTTTTAGTATTGCACACCTTATAATTTCAGAGACAATCATACTGAACATCAACACACACACACTTGTGCGCCTTGATTCCATTCAAAAATTAAATATACATTTCAGGAGATTGCAACTCCTCGATACTAAAATAAATTCCTGCTGCGGCAAGTCGGCTGTGTACAATGGATGACGAGATCAGTCATAACGAGCATTACACGTAGGGTTTTAGCAAGACTTTTTCCTCTGTAAATCTTAGGAAAATCATGTCTCATGGAAGTACTACCCATAAATTACAACAAACTAATCCCATCATACTTGAATCACAGTCAACAGCGATATTGTTGACAAGTGTCCTGCATCCTGCCCCCCTTTAGATGGAACAGCACTCTGTTGGTATCCGATAAAATACCCAAGGGCTTCTACAGATTAAGATATCCTTTAAGATATCACGTGGCACGCCCAAACAGAGGGCCAATGAGGTGGACCGAGGGCAGGAAACACTCCAGAAAATCTTCTACAGAAAATTTTAAAACATTCACAATGCCAGTAACAAAATGCCATTATTTTGATTAAAAAATCAGATGAATAACAATGAATCACAAATATACACAAAGGACAGGACCCAGTAGAAAAGCAATGAATTAAATAATATACATTATGTTGGACCTAGGTAAAACTCATCCTGATACTAAACTGAAAAAATTTTGAAAATTGTAATATTTGTCTACAGATTCAAATTTTCTTTAAGAAAACTATATTTTGTAATAGAATATTATATATCCTAAACTAAACTTTTACTAAAACTTTTACTTACATAACTAAAACTTTTACACAAACCAGTAATGTCAGGACAAACTAACTGAGCTGTCATGATAATGGTAAAGATAAAAAGGAAAAACAATGAACTTGCATACAATGGGAATGGCTAACAAAGTTACTGTAGAAATGTTCTGGAGTGTGAGCAGACTTATCACTACACCGCAGCAGGAGCCAACCGTCAGTTCCATTTTGCTTTCTGTGCATAGATGTCGGCTCGCAGATTCTGAGCAAAGCAGATGCCAAGGATCTGAAAAGAAAAACTGAATAAGATAATATCACATACAGTATTTGGGATACAAAATGGATTCACTATTTGCTCACTGAACAGAAATTTTTATAAGATACAAAAAAACAGTTACACATATAGGCATTGGTTAGGTGTTTTATCAAACAACTTTCTATAGCATATTATTATTGTATATAACAAAATTACGAAGATATGCAAATTTATTTTCCGAATTCAAGTTGGAGACCCGATTACATATATGAATAATAAAATTATTGATGGTAAAGGCTTTTTTTTATGATCTAGGAGAATTACCATACTGGTAAATACTACACCTTAATAAAAGGTCATCATCAAAGTTAGAGTAATCCTATCTGTAACTACAAAATGATAACATTGTTAACATTTAGACTTAATTATTCACTTTAAAGTAATAAAGTTAAATGGATCAACCCAAGTTTCACTAGAGAGAAAAGCTTCATCCTAAACATGCACTATTTATGACAAACAATTTCGGAGACAATGCAAATGGCAAGTGCTTATTACCTGCCCGACATGCACACTGTACATAAAAGATTATTACGATGCTGAATGACAAAATTCTTAACTAGAGGCCGAGTGCCCCTATGGTAACTCACCTGGCTCATGCAACTGCTAAGTGGTCATGTGGCACAGTCAGGCAAGGTTAGATGCTACAATGACTGGGTATTGCAATGCATCATACTAGTAGACCAGGTATTATAGTAGTTTATTTAAAGATTATTATTAGTTGTGACCATCAAATTGTACCTATTTTAGAAATTTTCAGGAGTTTTTACCTGTGGTTGCTGTCAATTTTACCAACTATTGCATCCCAACTTGGGCCGGGCTTACCTAGTCCTCGCTTTGTATGCGAGGGTCATTCTATATTGGCATTTTGTCTAAACATGCGACTAAATTCAATAACCTGTCTGTCATCAAGCATTTCTAGGACATAGTTTGCACAAGTTCATCTTGGATCATTCTTATAATGCACAATGTCAAGAGTTTTCAAACTCTCACTTGTAAGTTACGAGTTGACAATGTTTTAACATTTTGTAAAATGAGATTTTCCAAAGGTTTGCTAGATATTGGAAATAAAATGCTGTTATAGATATTGTATCTTATCTGCATGATGAATATCCAAGTCAGTAATTATCAAAAGAAGGCACCAAACCGGGAAGTTATGTAGCACCATCAAATGTGCGGAATAATCAGAGGGCACTAAATATCACCAAGGATATCAATACGAGAACAGAAACGCACAAGGCAAACGATATAAAAAATATCCGATTCACCAAGAAGTCTATCGAGGGACAAGTGACCACGAGGGACGGTCGGAAAGTAAGACACACTCGTCCTGGAAGTCAGCACATTCAACAAGGATATGCACGACGGTAAGAGGGGCAATGCAATTTGGAAAATAAGGAGCTGGGCGGCGCTCCATTAAGTGACCGTGAGTTAAGTGAGTATGGCCAAGACGCAACCGTGCTAGAGCCATTTACCACCGCCGGTTACGGTGGAAAGAGGAAGGCCACAGGGACACAACGCTTAAGAGTACGCAGTTTGTTACCAACAACAGAAGACCAACAACCCTGCCAATGGGCAGGGATGGAGGAATGAATAACTGGATAAAAGTCGGAAAAATGAAAACCTTCACGGGAAATGGGACACGAGCAGATAGCCTCTCTAGCGGCAGCATCCGCACGCTCATTTAAAGAAATACCAATATGGCTGGGGAACCCAGCAAAACTCTACGGATTTAAATTTACTAGAGATAAGAAACAGCCAATGTTGAATCTCGACGACTACCGGATGGACAGGAATAAAGGACCCGAGAGCCATGAGGGCACTACAAGAGTCAACTACAATCACAAAGGGGGATTGACAACGAGAAAACGGGAGATGGAGAGCATAGAGAATAGCATAAAGTTCCGCTGTGAAGATGCTAGTCTCCGAAGAGAGGCGACACATATAAGTGCGGTCAGGAAAAACAACAGAGTAGCCCACACCGTCCGCAGACTTAGACCCCATCTCATCTCACCTCACCTCACCTAACCTAACCTAATCTTCACCGTCATCGGTGAAGACGGAAACGGAGCGGGAGTATGAAGAAAAGTGCTCAAGAAAAAGGCGTTTCAGAACCATAGGAGTATAAGCTTTAGTAATGCGGGTCAAGGATGTACAAAACTTCGGAAGGAGGTCCCTCCACGGGGGCAAGGAAGGAACAATATGAGGAGAAATATGAGAAAGACGAATGGAAAGAGTCCTGCAAGCGAGATAGCTGGACAGAAAGAGGGAGGTGGTGAAGAGGAACAAGAACTACAGGAGGGGTAAAAGTCAAAGCATGACAGAGGCAAGAGGAAGGATGTTGCAAGGACTGCGCCAGATAGCGAAGACAGTAACGATCACAGCGGTCCAGGAGAGATAGGAAACCAGTATCAACATACAAGCTGAGGGTGGGAGTCGAACAAAAGGCATCAGAGCTGAGGCGCAACCCAGCATGGTGCAAAGCTTCAAGACGGCGAAGAGTAGAAGGAGAAGTGGACGAGTAAGCAGGGCAACCATAATCGAGTTTAGACACGACGAGTGAGGAATGTAAAGAGAGGTGTGTACGCTTATCTGCCCCCCCAAAAAGTATGGGACAAAAGCTTAAGGAGGGAAAGGGCCTTAGAGCATTCAGCACGGAGGTAAGAGATATGGGCTGACCAAGACAAACGAGTGTCAAAGATTAGCCCTAGAAGCTTAGCGGAATCCTTGTACACAAGGGGATGTCCATAAAGTGACAGAGAGGGACAAAGAATGACATGCTTCCGAGTAAAAGTCATATCACAAGTCTTGGATGCAGAAAACTTGAAGCCGTGATCGGTGGCCCAAGACGACACGGCATCAATCGCAAGTTGAAGCAGCCATTGAAGGAGAGGTGAATCACCACCCCGACAGCAAAGGGCAAGATCATCTACATAAGAGAGCAGTGAAGATGCCAGAAGGAAGGGAGGAAAGAAAACCATTAAGAGCAACAAGAAAAAGAGTAGTGCTCAGAACACTACCTTGGTGCACGCCCTCATATTGCCTAAAAGGGGCAGAGAAAGTGGCGTGGCACCAAGCCTTACTCGAAAGAAACGACAAGAGAGGAAACCTTGGGAGGAAGAGCGGGAGATTCCCATAAAGGCCAAAAGAATGACATTGGGACAGAATACGATACCACCAGGTAGTGTCGTAAGCCTTTTCCAGGTCAAAAAGGACGGCAACAACAGAGGTCTTCACAACAAAAGCAGTACGAATATAGACCTCCAAGTTCACCAGGACATTCGTTGTGCTGTGGCACTTGCGAAAACCAAATTGAGAAAGGGAGAGGTGGTGATAGTGCTCTAAGAACCACATCAGACGAACATTAACCATACGTTCAAAGAGCTTGCAGACAACTTGTGAGGGCAATAGGGCGGAAGTCCTTGGGGGATGACCCGAGAGACCCTGGTTTCCAAACAGGGAGGACGACAGCATCGAGCCAGTCCTCAGGGACTGACGACGACTCCCAGACCCGATTAAACAGACTCGGTAAATACTGAGACGTGCACAGAGGGAGATTGTGAAGCATCTCCAACCCATCCTCCGAATTGACAGTATGTTTTAATACTAAGTGTAATAAGTACATTTACTGACTGTTATACATAGTACATAATTGCACTTATAGGGCAGTTACATTTACCCATCCCCCCTCCCCCGAGTTAATTATCCTCGTTTTCTGTTAGGACACTTGAAATTTTAAGATAAAATTTTAAAGTTTAGTTGCTATAAACAAGTTTTAAATATTAGGATTTTCTTTTTCACTTTTATTAAACAATAGAGATTTTATACAAAATTTGAAAATATCCTGAGTTACTTTACAATTTATTGAAATATTTTAGTTTTGTTTTATTTGTTTTATAAAACTGTAATATCAATATAGCTATAGGTTAAGTAGTAGTTATAATTAAGATGCAATAAAATGCTTATCTTCACAAACTAACACGCCTAGGTTAGATCGTGGTTTTCTATTCAGCTTTTTAGGTAAACTCAAATATTCACAATATATTTGACAGTACGATCTAAGTCTAAATAAGTACAATTCTTGACTGTCATACATAGTACATAATTGCACTTATGGGGCTGTGTACATTTACCTCCCCATTTTTGGAGGACGGGCTGAGCATCTCATAATAAATGCCATCGGAGCCTGCTGCCGTAGAACCACAGAGGGCCAGGGCAGACTGAAGTTCAGAGAGAGAGAGAGAGTGAAGGGATCGTTATAGGGAAGGCCGAGATGGGAACAGAAATCCAAAGGACGAGATTCAAGAAGAGACTTACGAAGAAGGAAGGACTGAGGAAGATGAGAACCAGAGCTAACAGATGAAAAGTGGGATCCCAATTCGGTCGCGACCTGCAACGGGTCCTCCACAAGAGTACCACAGAGGTGAAGGAGCGGGAAGACATCGGGAACGAACTTACCCGCTATCTTGCGGATGCGCTTCCAGATCAGCGGTAGAGGAGTTTCGGACGTGATGGTGGAGACATAAAACATCCAACATGCACGTTTAGCTATACAGATGGTCATACGAGCCACCGCACTTGCCTTCCAAAACAAAAGAAAAGATTCAATCATCTGCCGGCGACGGTGTCTCTTCCAGGCTGCATGCTTACAGCGGACAGCCTGAGCACAGTCCACATTCCACCATGGAACACACTTCCGCGTTCCCCGAGAGGAAGAGCGAGAAATAGAGTGGAGGGCAGCATCGAAGACGGTGTCATAAAAAAAATGAGGAGGGCGCGAGGAGAGGCAGAATGGAGAGGTCGGAGATAGTAGCACGGAGGATAAAGAGGGGCCAGTCAGCCTCGGCAAACCGCCACATAGGGAAGGAGAGGGGAGGGTGAAAAGAGAAAAAGGAAACAAGGATGGGAAAATGGTCGCTGCCATTGCGACCGGCTCACTGCAGAAGCCGGTTGGCCGAGCGGACAGCACGCTG